GCTAGTGGCGGGAAATAATTCAGCAGTGCCGAAGCGCACACAAACAAAATCATACCCTTGGGTTGTGACAACTAGAAGATTTTTCTCTCTTTTTCAGTGATCATTCATTCTCTGTAGTTTTCACCCATGTTGTTGCCATAAAGGCATCTGGACCACTGGATGAAATATACCACACGCTAGGATAGATGTATGCATGATTCATATATTCAAGTGGTTTTGTTGTGGGGAGTTTTGATTATTGGGGCATTGGAGTTGTGTTGACAGATCCTGAATTTACTGTTAAGACAGGGATGGGTCCCATTAGATGCCTGGTGATCAGCAGGAAGTTTACTTCTGATGGTGAGTTGGGAAAAGTGTCTAGATAAGTGATGTTGGTGTAGGAGTATTCCAGAGAGAACATGAATTTGACTGAAGGGTGGTAGTTATGTAACCTGAAGTGGAAGTCAGTAAGCAAGTCCAGGTGTTCAGATGACATTTCCATCATCTTGACTCTGTAGTGCATCTAGGATGGCATCCTACAAACCACTATATACAGAATCTACCTGATACTCGCCAAACTCTATACTGTACAGGTGATAACAACCCTTCTAAAAGAACCTTGTTCTTCCATGATCAGGTTTTTTACTGCATCTCTCCTGTTTATTGGTTACCTGAACATTTCCTTTATATCCTGCTTTTGTTTATATATGGAGTTTTACATAAGATTTTGTTCCCATCTACTACTTAGCTCTGCTGTGTCTGTTCTCTCCGAGAGGCCTAAGTAGATTTGGGTACTGTGATACCCAAAATTTTACCTATGTCTATGCCAACCATGCAGTTGATTCAATAAAACAGTGGTGCTCAACCTTTTTGGCTGGTGGACAAGATGGGCAGTGCCCAGTCCCTATGTAGGCCACATCTGGCAGGGCCCCATCTGGCCACACAGTGGGGGAGGGGGCAGAGGAAGGGCAGCTCAGCCCAGATCCAACTCTGAGGTGGAAGGGGATTTGGACCACTCCAACCTGGCCCCACAGAAGGGAGGGGCATGGGCCAGCCCTGTGGGAGAAAGGGGGCATGGCCCAGTCCCAACCTGGCTGGGTGGAGGGAAGGAGGCATGGCCCAGCTCCACAGGGTGGAGAGGTGGGAGGCCCAGACTCAAACCAGCCACTCAGGGTGAAGGAGCATGCCCCAGCCCCACGGGAGGGAAGGGGGCATGGCCCAGCCCTAACCTGCTCTACAGGGCTTGGAATTTTGGCAGCAGAGGTGTGTGACAGTGCTACCACTACTCCCCCAGCCCCTCTCTCTCCCAACCCATGGGGAGCCCTGCAGGCCCAATTCCAAGGCTCTGTGGGCTGCATTTAGCTATAGGCCAGTGTTTCATCACCCCTGCAATAAAAGATTATCAACTGAATTCTTGTTTCTCATGTTGCTGTGATGGTCCAGGAAATAACAGCATCTCAACACTACCTTTCAGTATCAGTGTGATTTAACAGACAACTGTAGACTTAACTATAGATTTCTAATGCTGTTGAGAGACTAAGCCTAAACCTTGAGGATTCTGGCAGCCCACTTTCAGATTTGCTGCACTCAAAAATTCACACATTTTCTTCTTTGTATAACAGGCAAAAGAAGCTTCTGCACCTGCCATACTGTACAAATAAACATGCACTATAATTACATGCTAAAGGCATTTTTATTAAATAAAAGCTCTTAAAACATATATAAAATTTTCTGTTCCCTGTTCCAATCACTGACCTCTAAAGCATTTCTTGGATCACAGGAACAGACTTTGAGAGAACAGGGTCCATTCCCCTCCTACCATTTTCTTCAAGACCAAAGCTGTGCTCTCACTAGTTAATACAAACAAAGAAACAAAAAGGAAAAGATTAGTAAGAAAAATGCCACCATCAGTGTCTATCTGGAAACGGACTGCAATCTGGAAACAGACTGCGCAGTCTCTTGGGACCACATGGACATTCACAAACCAAAGAGAAATCTAGTTTGTTAAAGTTCCTGTTCCTAAGACTAAATAATGTATATACATTCACTAAGCTTAGTCAACAAGATCCTCCTCAGCAAAGAAAACTCAATGAGAATATTTGAACAGCTTGTTTGGCAAGTCGATACTTGTATTTTAGTTACTGCAGTAACAACCTGTGACCTACCCAGAAGGGAACTCCTCATAGGGAGTTAGAGCTAGTACTTACAGCAGGGGAATGGGGACCAGGATGCCCAGAGTTCTTTTCCCAACTCTGCTACTATCTGATCATGATGCTTAAAATACCCCACAGCATATATACCTCAATTTACCCAACTGTTAACTCTTTATCAGGTTTCTCTCTCATATGTTAGAGATCTACAGAAGCAAAACAACACAAGATAATCAAAGGATGTTCCAACTAAGTAAACTGCAAACATTTAAAAATACAATTTTAAGTATTTCAAGCAGGGAAATAATCAAAGAACAAAAGGTGTATGGTCAAAAATTACAGCTTGGTGGTAGAACTCTCTTTTGAAGCTTTGTCAGAGCTCTAGTATTTATAAAGCTTAAGTAACTCAGAGGCATTTTGGGATGCTTTATATCAATAAGGCACTTGGTTGTAAGCGTTACTGTACGTACTCAAATTGCAAATCAATCATGTGTTACAGCAGCAGTTCAGTATTAACAACTGAACAAACACATTTTCTTCCAAAAATCATTCTTTATGACTATTAAATCCTTCTCTACTCACAGTGTGGGGGCGACTAAGTGTTCCATTCAGACTCTCTTCCCTATAAAGGATGCATACAAACTTTGACATACAACTCCAAACCGTTGCTTCTAGCAAAAGCACAGCTTTAAATCAAGCACTTTTGACGTTCTAGATATAAATGAGATCTGACAGGGAAGCAGCAATTTTTTAACAGGCTACAAGAATATGCACAGGCTATACAAATTAGCAAGAAACTATAATGGATTCAATTCAAAGAGGATTTTTTTTGGCACCATACTTAACATTCTTGACTAAATATTTCACACTAATCTTGTGCACCCAAAACATATTTCCTTGACTCTAGAGCACCTCAAATATGAGCTCTAATTCCTAATAAATATCTAAAAAGTGTTCAAACAAAAGTATGTCCAAAGGTGCCTACCCTACAAAATGTTATTTTCAGGTACACTTAAACCTCTGAAAGCCAGAAAATGAAGTTACCAAATTCCACTGCAACAAAACCTTAACTCACCCCTCTTTAAGCAATGCCCCAACACATACATAATGGCACACTACTCTAAATGCGGAATGCTTTAAGCACAGAGTACATATGCACCATAAAATAGTCTTCTCTTTGCTAGTGCAAAATTCAGGCTCATATACAACCACATACCTCAAATCCCTCCTCTCTATACACCTCTGCACTTCTCTGTTCTTCCCTGTGCCACTTGAAATTAGTAGCACTGAAAAGAAAAAGGGTGAACCTGGAGCCCATTCTCCACTACTGAAAGCAGCAGGAGAAGCTGGGAGGCAGTAGAAAAGGGTTCTCCTCTCCCCGCGAGATCCCAGCTCATAGGGACAGAGGAAGGGTCTCTGAACTCAGGGGAGGATACTCAGTCAACATGGTGATCCCAGATACCCAGTCAACATGGTGATCCTGGCCCTTCATAAAACTAAGGATTGCTGTCATCCCATCTCCCCTCCCCTTGCATGAAGAACGTCTCAATCTGGTCCCTGAGCCACCATTCTGACACAGGGGTATGAAATGGGAAAAGCAGCCACCAAGCAAGGGAAAGTGTTAGCCTGACAGAACCCTGGCCAATCTCCCCTACTTTACATGCTTCATTCCCTCCCATCCATCTTCTTCCATTTACCTCTACCCCTACATCCCACTCTGCCTTTCCAGCCCCCACCACTTCTGTACTGCTCCAGCAACTGCCGACTACATTCTTTAGATTTACATTCTAATATTATAAAAGCCTAAGTCTATCTGTCTGTCCGTAATGCTTTATTTGCATTCTGACTGGCTGATGGAAACAGCCAGAGTGCTTCAAGCATGGGGGAGCACTGCCATGATTCTGAAGCTGTGCGGAGGACCAGACAGAGGGTGGGGGAGCAAAGGCCAGCACTGGCCTTGGCTCCCCACTTTGCTCCCTGCAAGCGGTGCTGAGGACTGGACAGGGGGTGGGGCAGCCAAGGCCAGAAGAGGCAGAACAGCAGCAGTATGGGATGTTAGGTGGCGGCACTCCATCCCATCCCCTTCATGCTCTCCCTTCCCCCCCCCCCCCCCCAACCCCCCCCCCCCCCCCCCCCCCCCCCCCGTTAGTCTTGACGGGCAATTGGTTAGTATATATGTATGGGAAAAAGCAGTGCATCAGAACCCCTGTAACCAAATGACCCACAGACTTGCATTCCTTTGATTTCATTCAATCCTACTGCACAGGAAACTGGTGAAGAGTATGCATCATGACTGTATTACCCTAAACGCTTACTGCAAACTTTTATTTTTGCTTATTTAGTTCATGCTAATTTTCTTGATAATACTTCATAATCAAAACTGAATCTGCACATTGACTTCAGCAGGTTTTAAAATATAAGTGTGGGTCTCCGACAAGATTTTCAAAACAAGTTTCTGCAGAATATAGCCACGAAGCAAGGAATTCGCACAACACATCGTCTGAAAGCTGCCAAGGACAGGACTCTCACACTGCATACAGAATGTCACTCAGGTTCACAGCTCATGTCATACAGCTAATAAGTTAATAGACTATTCAGATAACTTTTAGCTGCTGACAGATCCATTTTCTTACTGAGCATGCACACTTCACTCCCTTTGGGTCTGGCTATCAACGCTCTGACTTGAAGTTCATAATACAAGTTCCCGAAACAAACAATGTTTATATCAAGTCTTAAACATCAGAAATCAGGTCTTGATAACACAGGCTGCAACCCAGCTGACTGAATTGGCTTTAGCTAAAAGCTAGCTGTGGGCAAAAGCACAGAAGACTGTTAGAACCACAACATGATTTTATAACCACCAGATTCCTTGGGGCAGCTGTGTCTCAGGAACTCTTTGCTCAAAATGACAATGTCAGTAAACATTTGTCCCTTTTCCCCTGCCATCCTGTATGAATCACTTTTAAGGTCTATACCTCCACCCTATCAAATGCTTCTTTGTGGCATCACAGGAGACAATCTGCCACAATAGGAAGTTCCTGGTGCCACACTCTGGACACACTTATGTTCCCAAGAGGACTTACTCTGTCATGGAGTTGGCCACGACTCTGTACAAATCTTCTCCTATATTCTATCTTCCAAAAACAAGGTGCATGTTTAATTAGGGGCATACTGTATATGAGAAAATGCAGTACTTTGAGTTCCTATTTTGAAGTTTGTTCATACTTTGGCTTTTCTGATTTTTTCTTAATTTAACATGTCTAGTAATAGTCATCCTTCATTCAAGCAAATCTATTTTCTCCTTTCCTCTTCAGAACTATCCAGCTTGCCAACTTTTGTTACAACTAAATGCTATGTTTAAGATTATGCTTCTAATCTCTATGTAAAATTTTTCTCCGTATACCATTTCACAAATATATACAGCAAATAACGAATACCAATCATTAAATCATGACCTTGTTTCCACTGAAAGAATTTATTCTGTAATGCAGTCTCAAACCTTTCACTACGTAAAGCAATTGCAATTTCCCTTAGGAAGAATACAAGCACTTTATATTGTAAACAATTTCTTTATTCAGAAAAACGTTCGCATTCCACACGTGCCACTGAGCGCATGCATTTCTCAGCACAACAGATGTCAGCACTAGCTAAAAACTGACATGCATATATTTTCGGTGGGGCTTTTTGGTGCTTTTAGCTAAAGCCAATTCAATAAGCTATTAGTTAAAAGGGCCAAAAAAACTTCACCAAATGCATGAACTATACAGACATTAGGAAAGCTGGGCGCAACTAACGTGCTGCCTCTTCTGGTCATGGGCTGGGCTCAGTGCAGGAGCAAGTCAAGTTTAAAGTAAAGTGCCATTTGTTTGTCCTTTCCATATCTGCAAATAGCCAATATGTTTTAGTCAGTGGCAATAATAGCTACCAATCAATTAGGAACCTGCAACATTCAGCACCACTTCTCAAAGGGTCATCATAAGAAGCTGGAAGCACCACTTCTCAGGCTCATAATATGAAGCTGGAATCAGGAGGAGGCTTATAAAAGCAAACCACAAAATTCAGTTACTTTACTAGATTTAACTGCAAAATAAATGCTTCTTGCCATCTAAGTCATCTGAGAGCCAAAAGCAGCCATAAATAACAAATCACTCGGACAGTGGAAGAAACATGTCCAGCCCATATATATCTTCCAGACATTTACTCTACCTTACCTAAATAAATTGTAGTCTTGACTGAGCTTCATCCACCTTACTCTAAATTAAGACTTCAACTTAGCAAAGCACTAGGAAAAATAAATGAACCGCATCACCTGCATTTAGAGACGCATCATCATCTACATATTAACAGAATGTGGCTCAAGTATCCTCATTCTCTCTCCCCATTTCCCGCCCCCCTCCTCCAGGAGCTCCAACTGCACATGGTACAAGAATGACAAAAGAACTCTGGAAATCCCACAGAGGCAGATCTCAGAACTCATGAAAGCTGATTACCAACTACTTGACTCTTTCTAAATGCAATTAAGGAAGAATAATCCCATCTATCGTAGTCAAGAGAGATGCTAGTTAGAGGCAACCTCAAGTTCAATATTATTAGTTTTCTGATATGTCTAACAAGAAATCAGCAGAGACACCTGACCTTTATTTTCACAAGGAGGAAATAAACCAAATGAGACTAACGAAGTCCTCATGCAGACCAAAAAA